CCCTGCTGTTCCGCTGCACTCCCCCAGTGCTTTGCCTCAGTGTGGCGGGGTCAGATCGGGTGCAATTCCCACACTGTGTGAGCTTATGCTTCTTTCTGCAGGTATTTTTTCATTACATTCTTTCCTTTAAAAACACACATCTTATTCGACATTCTTAAGCTCAGAGAATAATTTGAATTATGCTAACCATTTCTTATGGGAGAGCTTGAACAACAGTTACCGAATATCCAAATCTATCTCTGACTGGGGGGGGGGCGGGGTTCGGGTGTTCAGAGTGGAAACGGGAAAGCCTCAGACAAACTGGGCTGAGCTGGTCGCTCTAGGTAACACTTCCGCAAGAGTCCACCAGGAAATAGAGCACCCTCCATTCTAAATGGACATTCAGATGCCTGAACCGTTATCATCCCCAGAGTTTGGGAAAAAAACAAGAAATAAAGAAATAAAAAGGCTTTGAGGCAGACAAGTCATAAAGGTTTTTGAGCCAGTTCTTATTGTCCCAATGCTACTTGGTGACCTTGGACAATCTGTGACGCAGACAAAATGAATTTCAAGGAGTAGAAAAAATGGTCCAGTCCTGTGCTATTTATAGCAGCTATAATTAAGAGCAAGAGAAATTTAAGTTAATTCTTCTAGTTGCTTGACGGAATGAGGTCTCTGGTTACAGGCTAACCTTTCAGGAGGGTGGAAACATCCCAAGCAAAGGCTTCCATCATTGTAGAGTGTTCAGTCAGCCTCCAGATTCTTTCCTGCCACGCTCACTTTATTAGATTCCCGTCAGTTACCATCTAGTAGCATTGTTCTAATCATGTCTCTATTCTTCTCAAATGTTTTCAATGGTTTTTAACTATTTAGAGTATAAATGAAAATTCTTAACATGGCATTGGAGATTGGCCATAATCTTTCTGCTACTTCCATAATCGTCCTGTTACTCACAAAGGCCATTAAATAGCCCATTATGTGTTTCTCTCTCCTGTGGCACGGGAGATTGGCCATAATCTTCCTCCAAATTACATTTTCAATTTTCACTCACTATGCCCCATTCTGGCAAGGTGGGTGGTTAAGAGCTGGATTAGTAATGAAATGTTTGGCAAATGCAATCCATCCAAAACAACTGACTGACATACAGAAGCACAGTGCTAGAGCGAATATGCTTAGAAAATAATTAGTAATAGTGCGCCTCAGAACTATAATTTCAAAATCCTAAGACTAAAAAAATTTTTTAGAGTAAAAAAAAATTTTACATTATAAAACAATGGTTCATATATATAATACCCAAAACATTAAGCCATCTAAGCAAAATATCCATCAATCTCTGAAGTATGGACTCACCAATTTATCTTTCTTTTTCTGTAATCTTAAAGATAGGAGCATAGAAAGAACAAACAATAATCCCCTATAGAAATGATATTACAGATCTACTCAATTAACACTGTGCCTTGGTTTTTATTGTGCGTGCATGCTAAAAATTGCCATTTCAGTAAGCATCTACCGCATAGCTTAGCATCCCTTTCACCAAGTATTCAAAATAAATTTCTCTAGCAGTCAATAACAGGAAAAAGTTCATGTTTCTAGAAAACCAGAATGCGGCCTGTGATTTCACAAACGCCATTAAATAGCCCATTGTGTGTTCCTGTCCCCTGTAGTTGTTAAAAGCATTGCTAAACTTTGTGCTCAACTTTTGCTACTTTCTTTAACCCAGGTTTTGAGAAATTCTCTGTCCTTGTACCTAAAAGCATCATCATTTGACTCATACATTTACTCCCACGTGGTGGCATTATCGCATGCTGTTTAGCATCAATACTTCTTAGAAAAGAACAAGTATAAACATGAAAAAGGCAAATAAATTTGAGCAAATAAGGAAAAATAGTTGCTTGGAAAAAAAGTTTTACAAGCCTACCTTCAAAGATTTCTTCTTTCCCATTGAGTGTTTCGGATTTGAAACTGAAGACATTAAAATTCTATTGATTTCCAGGCCAGTGTGAAGCTATAATAGTAATGAATAAAAAGCATAACACTGATTTACATCAAGCTTTTCAAGAACATAAAAATGTGACATCAAGTTACCAAATTATAAGATAAAAATGCCTTATGAGGAAGAAAACCCCCAAATCTAGTATTTTTGGTATAGGTGAAAATCATTAATCTCTTGAGAACTACAGCCATTTCATATTTATGATAATGTATCATTTATCTATAAATCAAACTTAAAACAATCTATCCCATTATTCTTTCAACTGATAATACATGTATTTGTCGGAATTTCGAGAGACCCAATAAAACCGCAGTGATGCATCCAAGCAGACGAATAAATAGCCTGACTGAGCGTTTCACGATTATAGCAAAAGGTGACAAACTAACATGTGAAAATCAGAGTCTGGGTCATGGGACTCAGTTTCTGAGGTGAGCTCCTGTGCTGGGTTATGTAGAACTCTATTTACCTCCGCAGCTTTGTCCTGAAAGAGCTTGCGCTGGTGTTCTTCTTCCTTCAGTTTTTCCTCCAAATATTTTATCTTGTCCTGTGATATAAAAACCAGAGCCAAATATACTTAGTTTATTTTCCAAGCAGAGTCCTACTGGCTCTTGATTCTTACGAGTTTGGAACGTCAACGCAGAGTGCAAGGAAAAGGAATTGCAAAAGATGCCTTTTTTTTTTTTTTGCTTCCTCCCTCAGCTTCCTTACATGCAATTACATATAAGAAAAAATGAAAAGCAAAAAATGTCACACACCCATCGATTTTATTAAGTTCCATCAACAAAGCCATATAAAAACTTAGGGGTATTAAGGAAGGCACATTAGCAATATTAATGGAGGTTCTTGTTATTTAAGAGTTTATACTGTACTCAGAGAAACAAGAGCAACAAACGTGAAACAATACAGCAACAAAGCAATGTGTATAATCGGACCCAGACCATGCATACACCACATCTTATAACTATCACATCTAGCGGAGGTGTGGCTCAGAACAGAGCAGTTCACAATGAGAGCTTCCTGAGCTGAGTGTTGGAGAACTCAAGGAATGCTTTACAGAGGAAGCAGCAGAACTTGAAGAAAGTCCTATGAAATGCAAAGGTTTGGAGTAGGAAAAAGGAGGGCATTTGGTGGGGATCTAGGACAGGTTTAATTGATCGGCAAGTGGCGAAAGGTAAGCTTCTTCCCGCCATCTTACAAGCAGTCAAAACTCCATTCACGTCCAGAAGGCTAGCTTGCTCCTGCTGTGGCAGCACACATGAGCTTACCATCCTGACAGACCGGAATCCACACTGAATGACTGAAAACGAAGCTTGATAAATCTAATCTAAAAGTCACTGCATTTACGTGCGATGCCAACTGTGTGTAACAGGGAAGCTGTACTCCTGGCATCACTACTTCAAAGAAACAAGAAGAGGCTTACCTCAGCAGTTTTCTGAGTTGTTGTAAGTTTAAAACATTCTTTTTCTAAGGCATCAAGCTTTTCAAGTTTTGCATGCAGCTTCATATGATCTTGTTCCTTTTCTTTTTGGAGCTGAGCCTGGAAAGGATAAAAACAAAACTTGAAATTGGCAAGTAATGTCAATGGATCAAAAATAATACAGTTACTGAGAATCCAGAGCAGAGTTTAAATTGACCATAAGAAACCTGAACATACCGGTATGAAGGGGCTTCAAAGAGTTTGTGGGTAAATGGAATGAAAAGAAAATGGAACTTTCCCATAAACTTTTTGAAGCCCATTCATACATAATTTAGGTGCTTACAAACAAAGGACAAAAAAATCTAATACTTTTAAGGAGCCAATAGTTTATACAAAAAAAAGTGTGCTAAATAATCATCAGTGGTACTTGCTGTGTAACATTTTACTAAGCCAACATCCAGCAGCATTACATATAGTAAATGATCATTGATGTGGTAACCAAAACTCATCATAGAAAATCAGCAGGGAGAGGAATAAAAGAAGGCAGGGAAAAAGAAAGTGACATGTAGGAGCTGCACAATGAGGGCAGTATTTCCCCTCATTTAATCAGGTCTTTGGAATTTTAGGATCTAGGTAGTTCTTTGAGTGAGCCAGTTTCTATCAGCCCTCTACCCAGTTAAGGAAGCTCCTCCCCTGTAAAAATGTATGGTTTGAATGGGTGATACATACACATGCACAAAAAATACACCATGACACAAAGTCTCTCCATCATTCACCCCTGGCCTACAATGTTTGGTTGGCCCCCACAGACACAACCTCAGTCAGGAGTGCCCTTGGTATTGTTTCCAACATAGTCTATAGGCACTTACACGCATTCACATGTATCTTCAGGTTTCCAAGTCAACTACAAATGGCAGCACATCTTGCAGATTTGCATCCTGCTTCCTTTTACTTAACAATATGTTCTGAAGATCACTCACCAGAACAGCCTCACCTTTATAAAAAATATTTTGATACATGCAAAAAAATCTAGCTAATAAATGATGAAATGTAAGTTAAAATGTACATCTACAAACCAATTGAAAGTTATAATACTAACAGCACCATTGAACTTACCATGCGCTACTCCTTAATTGAGGAAGCCCGCTTCTTCCTCCTCAGAAATAACCACGGGCAGAAAATGTGTATTCATAGTGCTTTTCTTTATAATTCCAATCATGCTTTTCTTTATCATTTTAACTAACATGTAATAATTCCTAATACCAGCTGCTGTTTATTTATGTATGGTTTTGCTTTCAGACTCAAATTATACTTCAAAATTTTAAATATTTTCTTGCATGTAGTTATAGCTTATTCATTTAGTCCATTGTGTGACTATATTAATTTATTTTATTTATTTTAACTGATCCCAGTACTTTCTAATTATGAGCAATACAATGAATATTTCTGTGCATGTCCCATAAATCACATTCACAAGAATATCAGTGCTGTTTTAGCTAGTTCTCGGCCTCAACCTGTGTGCTACTGTACCTGTGGGCCTAGCCAATCCGTGGATCGTGTCGCTAGAGCTTGGGGCTCTTTCAAGACATGCTTCTCCGTGCTGTTGGCGTGTAAACTGCTTGAGCTTGAGGCTGGTGGATCCTCTCATCTTGTATTGTTTGAGATCGATATCCCAACCAGGCCTGCTTTGCTAAGTTCCCATGCTACTGACTGTTGCTGACTGCTGTTGACCCACCTTGCTGTCTGTGGGCAGCCTCTGGCTGTTTTGCCTGAGGGATGACTCCACTGTCTGCTTCCTTGACCTTGGACCTAAGTCCCCTCTGTGAGTTGAAGGACTTTCAGTATATTAACTGTTCCATAAAAGTGAGTTGAACTGAGCCCTCTGTATTGCTGTGTGGACTAATCAGCTGTCGTGTTCCTTCTCACTGCATAAACCTATATATATAGGTTTATGTAACAACGATGAGAAATACAACTTTCCTCTACTTTATATATATATAAAATAAGTGTCCTGGTTTTGTGTCTCTAGAGAACCCTGCCTAACAGAAGCTGGATATCAACAACAACAAAAGAGATTAAAAAAATAATGACAAAAACTTGAAGGATAAATAACTTACTTCTTCAAAAGGGGTAGATAGTGACCCAAATTAGAGACAAAATCAGGAAGTTTCTAGAAACCAACGATAATGAGAATACAACATACCAAAACCTACGGGATACATCAAAGGAAGTTATCAGAGGATGTTTGATTGTGGTAAATGCACATATGAAGAAGAGACTTATGTTGATACCCAATCCTTCAAATAGCAAAAGAAAAGAAATTATAAAAATCAGGGCAGAGATAAATGAGTGTGAAAACAAGAAAACAATTCAAAAGATCAACTCAGTAAAAAGCTGGTTCTTTGAAAAGATGAATAGAATCAACAAACCGTTAGCAAACCTAACAAACGATAGAAAGGAGCAGACATCACTATCCAGGATGTGGGATGAAATAGGGGAAATTGCAATGGACCCTAATGAAATTAAAAGACTAATTACACAGTACTATGAAGGATTCAACTCCAATGAATACAACAGCTTGGAGGACATGGGCAAATACCTGGAAAAACAAATCCTCTCCAGATGATCTCAGAGACGTCAAGAACTTGAACAGACCCCATAGCAAAAGTAAAATACAGGGTTATCCAGGAACTACCAACTAAAAAAAAGTCCCAGCCCAGATGGCTTCACAGGAGAATTCTACCAAGCATTTAGGGAAGAGATGACACCAATTCCGCACATGCTTTTCCAGAACATAGAAAAGGACAGTAAACTCCCAAACATATTGTATGAAGCTAGTGTACCACTGACACCAAAACCGAGCAGGGATCCAACAAGAATAGAGAACTACAGGCTGATATCCCTAATGAACATAGATACAAAATCTTCAACAAAATCGTGTCCAATAAGCAAATGTGGCGAAGAAAGCTGATGGTGCCCGGCTATCAAAAAGTATAGCGTCTAGGGTCTTAAAGGCTTGAAGGTAATCAAGCGGCCATCAAGCTCAGAAGCAACAAAGCTCACATGGAAGAAGCACACCAGCCTATGCAACCACGAGGTGTCGAAGGGATCAGGTGTAAGGCATCATCAGAACAAAAAATCTTACCATAGTGAATGATGGGGGGAGTGCGGAGTGGAGACCCAAAGCCCATTAGTAGGCCACTGGAGATCCCCTTGCAGAGGGGTCTCGGGGAGGAGATGAGCCAGTCAGGGTGCGATGTAACAATGATGAGAAATACAACCTTCCTCTAGTTCCTAAATGTTTCCTCCCCACTCCCACTACCATGACTCGAATTCGATCTTGCAAGTCTGGCTAGACCAGAGGAGGTACACTGGTACAGATAGGAACTGAAAATACAGGGAATCCAGGGCGGATGAGCCCTACAGGACCAGTGGTGTGAGTGGCGAAACAGGGAGGGTAGAGGCAGAGTGGGTAGGACAGAGGGAACCAATGACAAGGAACTATATGTGACCTCCTCCCTGGGGGACAGACAACCGAAAAGTGGGTGAAGGGAGACGTCGGACAGGGCAAGATATGACAAAATACCAATTTATAAACTATCAAGGGCTCATAAGGGAGGGGGGAGCGGGGAGGGAGGGGAAAAATGAGGACCTAATGTAGGGGGTTTAAGTGGAGAGAAAATGTTTTGAAAATGATGTACAAATGCGCTTTACACAATTGATGTGTGTATGGATTGCGATAACAGTTGTATGAGCCTCTAATAAAATGTTTAAAAAAATCGTGTCCAACAGAATACAAAAGTATATAAAAGGAATAACTCATCATGACCATGTGGGATTTATACCAGGGATGCAGGGATGGTACAACATTTGAAAATCCATCCATTATCCATCACATTGAGAAGAAAAAGGACAAGAACCACATCATAATATCAATAGATGCAGAAAAAGCATCTGACAGCATTCAACACCCATTCCTAATAAGACAATCAAGAAGATAGGACTGGAAGGAAATTATCTCAATATAATTAAAGCTATATATGAAAATACAACAGCCAGCACTACAATCAATGGAGAAAAGACGAAAACATTCCTACTGAAAAAGAGAACCAGACAAGGATGCTCTTTGTCCCCACTTTTATTCAATATCGTCCTGGAAATCCAAGTTAATAATATGTCAGTGAAATATAATATAAAGGTATACATCTGGAGAAAGAAGAAGTGAATTTATAATTTTTTGTAGATGATATGATGTTATATATTGAGAACCCCAAAGGCTCCACAATAGCAGTGTTGGATGCGATAGAGGAATATGGCAGGTTATAAGATCAACAAGTGGAAATCAATTGGATTTGCTATATACAAATTATTGGCTAACAGAAAAAGAGAACAAGAAGGTAGTACCCTGCACAATAGCTAAGCATAAATTGAAATATTTAGGCATTTACCTAACCCAAAAAGCTGTACGAGGAAAACTACAAATGATTATTACAAGAAACAACAGGGAACTTCACAAATGGAAGACTATCCTATACTCATGAATCGGAAGACTCAATATTGTAAAGATGTCAATCTTATCTAAGGCACTATATAAGTTCAATGCAATCCTGATAAAAATACTAGCATCATTTTCAAAGAAATGGAAAAACTGACTATCAACTTCATATGGAAAGGGAAGAAGCCCAGAATTAACAAAGAACTCCTCAAGAAGAAAAAATAAAGTGAGTGGGCTTGCATTATCTGACTTTAAAAACATATCATACAGCCAAAGTTGTCAAAACATCATGGTAGTGGTATAATGATAGATACTCGTACCAACGGATAAGAACAGAAAAAAATAAAAATAAAAACAGCAGCATACAGACAATTGATCTTTGATAAGGGCCCCAAAAATATCAAATGGGAAGTAGATGCCCTCTATAACAAATGGTGCTAGAACAATGAAGCAAGACCCTTACCTATCTCACTCCTTACACAAGAACAAATTCAAGGTGGATCACAAACCTCAAGGTAAAACCCAAAACTATCAGAATCATTAATGAGAAAATTGGGACAAAGCTAAGAACCTTAGCACAGGGAATACATGGGCTATCAGAAATAAGAAAGGAAACATACCAGAG